CCTCAGGTCCTTCCGGTGGCCTGTGAGGCCCCTGGAGGTCTAGTCCTTGGTAACCTCTCTCACCTCCTCTCCTCATCAGCCCTCATCCAGGGGACACTGTTCTGGCCACAATGGCTTCCTTGACGTCCACATATGCCAGGACTGCTCCCTCTGGCCAAACAAACACTCAAGTCTCGCATCTCTACATTGCACATTAGAGTCGTTCAATAAATATTTCCTGAAAGAATAGGGACTAAATTGAAAAGACTTACATTAATAAAATAAAATTAAAACTCTTTAGATTCACGTTACATTGCACTGCAATTTTGCACCCATTCGATCTTCATGACCTTCCTAGTATAAATAACATCTAGAAGATTTCTGTTTTCAGTGCAGTGCTTTGCATAGAAAAGTCACTAAAGAAATATTTGATAATTTGTGAAATGAAATGTGAACAATAGATATAATTAGTCCAATTCACTTCAAATCCTGTAAACTCCTTTGTAATCACTGCTAGTTCTAGACTAGTCTCTCCTTATACGGCCATCCGTTCTAATTGTAGCAAAGGAATGTGAGCAGAGCTTTGTTTTGTGATGATATTGATTCTTCATTAATGGTTAGAGAGTTTCTGTTGCCCACTTTCTCTGTTGTTGCTTTAAGGATTTTTGGTAAGAATTGAAGATCAATAGCCTTAGATTTTAAAAAAGAAACATTCTCACATAAACTATCCTTTCTTTGTTTTTTATTAAGAAAACCCTTGTTTTTAGTTGAACACATAATATAAAAAGAAAACCAAACATTCCCCTGCCATTTTTTGCAAATGACTGTGACCAAAAACTATGTTGTAGTCAAGGGGATGTTAGCATAAGCTATTACTTAAAAGAGAACCAGAATGTACTTTTTGCTTTCCCCCCCTGCCTCTTCTTCCTTTCTGTTGCAAGATTGCAGATACGAGGGCTGGAGCTCTAGCTGCAGTTTTGGATTATGAGGAGAAGGACCACACCCTAGTAGATGAAAGGTGACTTGGAAGGGTTTTAGATTTCCGAGGGCTTCGTGGAGCAGAACCATCACCGTAACCCCTGAATTTTACTTCTGGCCTTGTATGAGAAAGGGATTTCTTACATAAGTCATTTATTTCAGTACTCGCACGAAATCAAACATAGTTCTACTTTATACATCAGTAGAAGTATCTAGTACTTGCAACTTTAGAGCTAAAAGTACCCTCTGCTACATCATTCAAAACAGTCAGAACAGTAGAAAGTGTTTGCAATGATAAGCAATGGTCTTTATTTTCTATATGTAATTTCTTATAGTCATTTTAGGGGAATAGTTGTATTTCCAAATGTACTTTTAATGACTGAAGTTGGTATGACCAAAGCATTCTTTGAATGATTGTGGAAAAAGTATTTATTACTGAAAACAAATGGCCCACTCAGTTTACATTCTGCACATCCCTAACTCAAGCGTGAAAGGAAGGTCCAGTGTAAGAAGTAGAGGCCGTTCTCCTTCACTGACACACTACGTCAGAGGGGAGCCAGTGACAATTAGAGACCCTAATTTAAGAGATTTTTTAATCCCCTTCAAAATAAAAGTTGCTTACAAATGTGAAAATGCCTAATATTTTTTAAACATCTTTTTTTACAGGAAGTCTATCTTTGTCGGTATTCTCTTAGACGCTATGAGGTTCATTTAGCACAGTGCTCTATCTGCTTAACATTCAAATTTGGACACAGTGGGTTTCTGCTCCACTCTTATGAATAGTTAAATATGCTCTATAAACGAACACATCATTTTTTTTTCTTCTATTACTATACTTCCGAAAAGCTGCATGTAGTTGGAATTAACCTGGTATTTATTTATTATTAAGTATATTTTTGTCAGAAAAAATATACAGCATATGAAATTCTAGAATTGTCATGAGTTAAAGACAAATTTTAGAACTCTCCAAGAGCATTTGCAATATAAACATCGCAGTTAATAAATTAGAATAATTACAACATGCACAACATAGCATTTTATTTGGTTTTAATAGTAAAGTTAATTGATTGGATTTCTTGTATAGAACTCAAAACATAATTACTTCACCCAATCATTTTTCTTCAAGAATTCTTAAAAAGATGAACTTGGTATTTAAGCATAAAATATTTTTATTACAGTACTTTAGTTTCATTCAGTTATCCACTCATTTGATACACATCTATTTCTCTTTGACCCTGGTGAATGGCCTGTGACAGGAGCCTGTGTTGGGGGATGTCAAGGGGGCATCTTCGAAAGGACTGATTGTCAGAAGGAAAACTGCAATGAGAAAGGTGCTCTGGTTAGTTTTTAATAATTACCCATTTGTAATATTCACAAATAGTTGAGACACAAGATTTCTAGTTAAAAGAATTTGTCCAATGCTACTGATCCCAAAAAGAAATTAAAAGGATGAAAAATAGAACCTTACACATAATCAAACACTTAAACAGGGTGATTAATCCTCCTTTATATTTTAGTGCCTGTTGTATGTCTTAATTTAATTGAGGAGACTTTTTATAAACACTTTCAAGGAGTTATATGGGATTAACTTTCTCGTTTGAGCCAATAGACTCATTTCTTTGAAGTATCTATTCATAATAACGAATGGGCATGTGCATCACCCCTGACCAGTTATGTCTTTTCGATATGAGGGATAATCAGTGGACTAAAACGACCCATTGTACAGCTGTCTTCCCAGATACCCTGTCTACTCTCGAGGACTCTCATGAAAACCCTTAGATATTTGCCCCAGGGACTGAAAAAAGACCATGAATTGTCTTCAGTCTGAGCTGGATCTAACTTAGTGTCCTACACATAGTCAGAGGTTGTAGTCCAGCCTACTTTTGTGCTTTACTAATAAAGTTTTATTGTAATGCAGCCACTCCTATTAGTTATGAGTTATTCGTGGCTGCTTTTATGCTACAGTAACAGAGTTGAGTAGTTGTAATGAAAGCCAGATAGCCCACAAGCCAAAAATATAGCCTTTAGAGAAAAATTTTGCCAACATTTGATATAGTGATGACATAACATTTCACTAAGCTCTTGCCAAGTATTATTCACATATTTTTATGAGCAAACGTAAATCTTAAGGTAACTCAGGAAAGAACTATATCTTGTATCCCTGTATATATAAAAGCAATTGTGACAAAAAAATCTATTACTTAACAAAGAAAAAAAACTATTTTTGTTTTCTCAAATCATATTTCACAGTGAATAGTTTTAGAGTCATAGTACCTACGCTCATTTTATTGATAAAATTAACCAAATGTGACTTTTTCTGCATAAAGTTTGCTATGTTTGTAAGAATACAACTAGACCCAGAATGCCTTGGTATTTTCACAAAAACAAGCAATGCTGTAATTTGGCGGTATTTCCCTGAACTTAAATGAGTTGCTAGCAGTCAGTTGTGGAACTAAACCTTCAACTAATAAAAGCAATATAGATTGAGTCTCGAAAGAAAGAAAGAAAGAAAGAAAGAAAGAAAGAAAGAAAGAAAGAAAGAAAGAAAGAAAGAAAGAAAGGAAGGAAGGAAGGAAGGAAGGAAGGAAG